GCGGAGCGAATGGTTGCCCGAAACGAGAACAATTTTAACAAAAATGTGAGGTATTGTGAATATGAAAAATTTTAACATAAACACATATTTTTACATATGGATGCCGTATTTTCCTAATGATAGCGTAACGCTGGTAATGATTTTCGTGATGATGGCACGCCTGATAATGATGTAAAGGGGGAGAAGGGGTTGTTAGTAATGGGGATTAGTAGTCCCATTGCTAGCAATATAGGGTATATTATATTCAGGTCGACCTCCTCGTGGTTCCCCCTGGAAACTATCGTGATTGATTTATTGTTAGATTCGTCACGGTGGGTTAACTAACCTGTTTCATCCTCACCTATCATCCCTCACTGGTGCCCTGTTAGTGTATACCGATAGCGCAGGCGGGGTTACCATTCCATTATCGTCCATTAGAGAAAATGATGTATGAAGAATTTTTAAGCGACCAGTATCTTTTTTGTGTTCATTTCTTGCCAATTTGAAAGTGACTTAGATATTTTTTTTTACAATTTATGTTGTGAAATAGTTATTTTTAAACTCGGAAGCAAAAAGAGGGGTGTTTTAAGTTTGACTCATCTGTGTGTCAGTCTGTAACAACGTAGCTCTTAAACGAATGAACCGATTATGATGCGTTATTTTTTTTTTGTTTGAAAGCTGACGTGATTTAAATGGTTCTTAACTACAATTTATGCATCTATTTTATAGGTATGTAATCAGACTTTTTTGAAATTTTTGTTAAGTTTATTTTGTAACAGTAAATACAGGGTGGCCCAAAAGTCCTTAGAAAAGTAAAATTTGAATTAAACGAAAACGGCGCGCGTGAGCGGTGCAGGGGAAGCGGGGGCAGTAACTTCGGTTTCTGGGAATTTAATCGCGATGGAGCGTTTCACTGAAGCGGACCGTGCGTTTTGTGTGCGCGAGTTTTATCAAAACAACAATTCGGCAACCGTTGCGAGGCGTAAATTTCGAGAACACAAAGGTTTACACAACTTTGATGACACCCCAGCTCTCCAAACGATTAAGAATTGGGTTGCTAAGTTCGAGGAGACCGGTTCGACGTTAGATAAACCGCGGTTGGGTCGCCCAAGGACATCACGTACGGAACAAAACATCGACACAGTGGCACAATCTATTCGTGAAAATCCTACACAGTCAACTCGTAAGCGTTCCAGTGCATTAAACGTATCCAGGATATCGTTACAACGGATTTTGAAGAAAGATTTACTTATGCACCCTTATAAAATTCAGTTGGTGCAAGAATTAAAAGAAAGTGATGCTATTCAGAGAGTGAATTATGCTAATGAAATGTTTAATCAGTTTACTTCGTTCAATAACATAATGTTCTCTGATGAGGCACACTTCCACATTAACGGACATGTTAGTAAACAAAATTGCCGCTATTGGAGCCCGATTAATCCAAAACTTAAGGACCAGAAGCCCTTACATAGCCCTAAAGTTACAGTTTGGGCCGCTATGTCAGCCCATGGCATCATAGGGCCTTACTTTTTTGAGGACGGCAGAGGGCGTGCTGTTACTGTTACTTCGGAGCGATATGTGGCCATGATCGAGGAGTTTTTCACACAAAAATTGCAAAACTTTCCAGGCTTTAATGCCCGAACATGGTTTCAACAGGATGGAGCAACTTCCCACACCTCCAATACTGCTATGCCCGTTATCCGTCAACTTTTTCCAAACAAAGTTATCTCTAAGAGAGGAGACATTTCCTGGCCACCACGTAGCCCGGATCTGACTCCAATGGTTTTTTTTTTGTGGGGCTACCTTAAGGCTAAAGTGTACGACTCTAACCCGCGGTCAATTAATGACCTAAAAGAAAACATCCGCAGAGAAATGGCAAGCATTTCAGCAGTGACGTGCCGCGCAGTCATCGACAATTTCAGAAGGCGTTTTGCAAGAGTGCCGTGACTGTAACGGATTACATTTGGACGACGTTATTTACAAAAAATAATTCTCGTTTTTCTAGCTATATTTACAAATAAAAATATTATTCATAATGTAATTAGTTTTATTTTAATTAATTTTTTTCATTACTAAGGACTTATGGGCCACCCTGTATTACTTATATATTGCTCTATGAGACATTTCCTTGTTAATTGATGTATTTTTACGTTTTGAATTAATAATGGTCAACATATAAAAAAAATACTGACGAATTTGGAATCTAATCCTCTTTGACGTCACAAATACTAGTAGCTTATCGTAGGTCATGACTTATAGTGTATATATTATACTTAGACGATAGTTGGGGTCAAGGTAACAGAATGCCTAATAGTGCTTCACTTCGTTTCTAAGCAACAGACTTACAACAAACCGTTTTGTAGCATTTTAATTACGAGTACCGTTATTGTCGGCACGTCGTTGTTGATACTGAATAAACTACGAAATATAATTATTTCACTACCTTCTTGGCTAACTTATGCTTCATTTTATTGAAGATATATATATATATATATATATATATATATATATATATATATATATATATATATATATATATATATATATATATACACATACATTCATCAGACTGTACAAAAGTCGATTGCTTGGGCACCTCTGTCCCATTCGAGTTTCTTCCGTGAAGACACAACACTACTACTGGTATTTGCATGGCTGTATTTCGGTTTGAAGGGTGGGATCACCATTTCTCAATCCTGAGGAATGGTAACGCATGGGGGGTATCATGGGCGAAACAATATACTCTGTTATGTCCATGGTACTGCTCATGTCTATAGGCGACGGTTACCGTTTTCCATCAGGTGGGCCATCAGCTTGTCTGCCATTCTAAGTTGTATAAAAAAAAAATTCATATTAGAACACTTCAAGTTTATTTATTTATTTATTTATTCTTTATTGCACAATAAAATTTTGTACAAATGGCAAGCTTAATGCCACATGGCATTCTCTACCAGCTAACCATTGGGTAAAAACAGAAAGCGTATGAAGGGCAGATGTGGTGAAAAATATGTGACAATTATAGTAACACATTAAGGCAATACACAATATAAATATAATATACACATAAGAAATGTACATATAATACATAAACATTACTTTTAATATATATGGATAAACTAATACATAAGAAATATATACATATATATATATATATATATATATATATATATATATATATATAATATACATAATTTAAAACAACGATAAACATTATGAGATATAATAACTATTGAGTAACCTGTAAGTTCTGATCTGCCTGATGATAACCGGTCACCAGTATTATATTATCTGTGCCATAGCACAGAAATGATAGATAGATTACTAGATAAACGCTTTAAAAGAAAAGCTTGGAACACTAGAGGTACCTCTCCAACGTTGCAGACTTCTACAATATTAGGATATTTTTTTTATGGATGATAATGGAATGATAACCCCGCCTGCGCTATCGGGATACGCTGGCGGAGCACCAGTGAAGAATGATAGGTGAGGATGGAGCAGGTTAGTTGGCCCATTGTGACGAATTCAACAACAATTGTTCACGATGGTTTCCAGGGGGAACCATGTGGAGGTCGACCTTATAGGGCATATTGCTAACAATGGGGCTGTCAAACTCCATTGCTAACAATCCCTTTTCCCCCAATATAAGGATATTGAGTTACAGTACCTAGTAATTTTGCTGCAACTTTCAAATCCTAACAGGGCAGTAAGGTTTTTTAAATAGATGAAAATGGAATGGTAACTCTATTCGCTCTGTTGCTGTCTTGGCGGAGTACAACTGAAGGATAATAGAAACAGAGATATTTTTTTAAATTTTTTGTATACCACCGAGTTGGCAAACAAGCCTACGGCCCACCTGATGGTAAGCGGTTACCGTTGCCTATGAATGCCTGCAATACTAGAGGTATTACACGCGCGTTGCCGACCCTGAAGAAGCCTCTTTACCTCCCTTTGAAGAACCCCATGCTGTAGTCTCTTGGGAAAACCTCGGCAGGGAGCTCATTCCATAACCTGAGTGTTCGTGGGAGAAAACAGAGCAGTCGGCACATTGTGTCGAATTGGCATGGAATTAATCACGAGGGTTCCCCATGGCAGACCGCGTGGTTGTCGATCTAACTCTGTAATTATTAATAGCAACGGGAGAGATAGGTACCTAACTTGTAGTATCCCTTCGTGAAGAAAGATTGCATAACCTTTTTTATTTGTATATTCTTTATATATATATATATATATATATGTGTGTGTGTGTGTGTACTTTGGTTGTTATAATTCTTAATATATGTTTTTTTTAACGTCTGTGTGGGTGTTGTCGCATATATCTGTAGAATAAAGTTTCTTTCTTTCTTTCTTTCATAATTATAGTTATAATTAGATGAATTTATATAAAATCAACATTCTATATGTAGCACTAAAATTTCACTGAGCTAATATTATACTATGTAATGAGGGTTGAGCGCTGTTGTCTGAGATACAGGTTTTATAACCTAGTTCAGACACAGGTGTTTAAACTGATCCAAATGTACAAATGAATTCGTACCTACTTCTACTGTAATTCCAGTTTTTTTTTCTTTTTTTACAACACAAGGGGCAAACGAGCATGCGGCGGCTCACCTGATGGTAAGTGACTACCGCCGCCCATGATCACCCACAACACCAGCGGCATTACAGGTGTGCTGCCGGCCTTTAAAAAGGAATATACTCTTTTCTTGAAGGTTATGTTGTCGTATCGGTTCGGAAATACTGCTGCTGGAAGTTGTTTCCAAAGAATGGTTGTGCGTGGAAGAAAGTGCCTTGAAAAACGCACGGTGGAGGACCCCCACTCGTCCAGATGATTGGGATGAAAATTTAGTTTGTGGCGGGTTGTACGGTGGTGAAAATCAGCAGTAGGTATCAATCCGAACAATTCCTCAGTCACAAGTCAGTTTGTTACAATCATGGTTATGCAATAAAGTTACCATTATTAAATTTCTCTCTGGTAAATTATAAAGCTATTGTGTTGCCAATGAATATTTGTAATTTTCAAGGTATCTCCACTCTGTCGGGATGTGGTTCGCCGGACCACCTGGACCGGTTGCCGGAGCTCCCGGCGGCGGACGAGAAGCGCCTGCGCCGCGCCGCCCATGTCCTGCAACAACGACTCGTGCTGCGCCAGTGGTTGTCGACGCACCGATTGCAGCATGCTTATTCCAAGTATGTAACCAGTATTAAGAGATTACTTTTTTCGTCTCACCTTTAAGAAGTCTCAGATATGAACATACAAATATAAGTTTATGCATATCATAGGATATAGATACCTTTTTTAATTAACCTGAGGACTCAGGTGTTATTCCTCTGTACCCTGTAAATTATTTATTATTGGTTTATAAACGTTGTGTGATTTGTCCATGCAGACAGGTGATTTTTTTTTATAGATGATAATGGAATGGTAACCTCACCCGCGCTATCGCTATAAACCGGCGGGGCACCAGTGAAGGATGGTAGGTGAGGATGAAGCAGGTCAGTTAGCCCATCGTGATGAATTCAACAAGAATTGTTCACGATGGTTTCCAGGGGGAACCACGTGGAGGTCGACCTAATAAGGAATATTGCTAGCGATGGGGCTATCAAAGTCCATTGCAGACAGGTTATAGGAACTGTTTTTTTTTTTACGGGAAATAACAGAATGTGCCTTGTTGTTCTGGGTTTAAGCTTTAGAATAGATTAAGCCATTGCAATCAATTAATCTCAGGTTTTCGTGTGTCAAACCTATATTATAGAAATAACATAATAACACAAACACAAATAATAACAGTCTGATATCCGGTCATAATGAGATTACGAGCGGATAGTCGCAGGTAATCCAAGGCTTCGGGTGACTCAAGATCCCTGCTTTGAGGGTGTTTGTTGGTTTCTCTGTTTAATTTATTTCTTTTAATTTGTTTTTATTATATGTAGTGCTAGCTACCCATCCTGGCTTCGCACGGTTTCAGTTAGTATTTTTCTGTACTATTTTACAACCATTTTCTTCTATACATATTTTGTTCTGACAATTGCAAACACAACAACAACAAAAAAGAGAATTTGTCAAATAGATCCAGCCGTTCTGAAGTAATGCGCTTACATATATTCGGAAATGGATTTTTATTTATATAGATTACACTATGGTCTTGGACGGAAAAAATTTAGACTGATTGTTTCATTAGAAATATTTTGTTTGGATCCGCTACCATTAGTATGTGTGTGGTTGCCACTATTCTACTCTCCCAAGTTGTAGAACCTGGGGGGAAAGGAATTGTTAGTAAAGGTGTTTAATAAACCCATTGCTAGCAATACACCCATGACCAGGTCAGGATCAGGTCGACCTTCACGCGGTTTCACTGGAAACCGTTATGGTTAATTCTAGTGGAATTCGTCAAGATGGGCTAACTGATCTGCCTTTTCATCTTCACCTGTCATCTCTCACTGGTGCCCCGCCAGCGTATCTCGATAGCGCAAGCGGGGTTAGCATTCCATTATCACCCATTAGAAAAAAGTTGTACAACCTATATCTATATTAGCACTCAAACTCCGACTATGATTTCGTCCACGCACGTTTTGCGATACTTTTTTCACCTTTCACGAGACATCTTCAGGTAAATTATCAGATTGCTGCTCGGAACCTGATATTGACTGTTCAGCACTCAAACTGCGAAGATCCAACCCGAACGGTGAACCCAAAACCAAAAATATAACATATGTACAAAACGTCTTAAAGCTTATTTCTAACAAAGAATGTGTTATTTAAATAGAAGACCTTTGACCTTAGCTACACTAGTAGGTACAAGGACTTTTGTAGCGGTCGTTTTTGGAGGGCCCCATAAAGGTACTTATAAGCTATGGATTATAACTCGGTTCGTTAACCATGTCTACTTTTTTCCTATTAATTATATATGTTTACAATAATAATAGACTTAAATATGATTGATAATTATTTAAATAACTTTTGTGCTATTCGTTGGCCTGTATTGATATAAATTCTAAATTGTAAAATCAACTTTTGATAAAAAAACAACAGCTGATGAGTGTCTTGCCCGTTCTTTTTGGCTGAAATTGCATTTCGAATAAGCGGTAGAATCATAGGAGACTTACCAGAGGGAGACTTTGTACAAAAGTCGATTGCTTGGGTACCTCTGTCCCATTCGTGTTTCAACCGTGAAACAATTGTGTTCTCATGGCTGTGTTTCGGTTTGAAGGGTGGGATATGGCGTGAATTTACTGGGTACAGAGGAGTAACACCTGAGTCCTTAGGAATGGCAACACATGGGGGGTATCATGGGCGAAACAGTATACTCTGTTATGTCCATTGTACTGCTCATGTCTATAGGCGACGGTTACCACTTTCCATCTGGTGGGCCGTCAGCTTGTTTGCCATTCTAAGTTGTATAAAAAAATGACTGTTAAAAAATGCTTGTAATTAAGTATACTTTAGTAAGAATAAGCACTCTTATTCTTAAAATAAATAAATTCTTATATTTAATTATTAAAGTTAACTAAATAATAATAAATAAATAGGTCAAGTTAAGAGGGATCACTTCTTCCAACATACGTAGTTTAACATTTATAAGGATCTTCTTTTCCTTTTGAGAATTTCTATTTCAAAAGGCCGGCAACACATCTGCAATGCTGTTGGTGTTGCGGGTGATCATGGGCGGCGGCAGTCACTTACCATCAGGTGAGCCGCATGCTCGGTTGCTCCTGTATTATAAAAAAAAAAAATATTGATTAAATTTAAATTACCTATAACTATAACGCAGCAAGAACTACTGGCTCTAGAAGCTTAAAAGTCTCAGATATGCCTCAACTATATATAACCTAAGTATCTATTTAAGATAAGTTTTTAGTAGTATCCTTCAGAACCAGACATATTAAGTTTTACGCGAGCGAAGGATCAGAGTTTGCTCTACTAGTATTTTGGTAAAACGTTAGAAAATTGTTCTATTGTTGTCGTATTTTCGATAGTCCAAGATCATAATTTAGAAAACCTCAGTCTGCCAACGGACTCAGTCTTCTCATAAAATATTATTGCGTTAGCCCTTCGTCATGAGACGGAGATCGCAACCCCAATAAGGATCACACATAAAAAATGCAACACTCAAATACAATCGTGTTCGGGACTGAATTTAACGAGCTCGGCAGCGTTTTCATATTCATTGCTTTGTGCCCTTTAAAGGGGAGGGCCGACTGATGGGAACGCTAACGGCGCATCAACGGAATATTTGGCTCGTAGTTTTTTGCAACATTCTGATTGTTTCTTTTTTTTTATACAACTTAGAATGGCAAACAAGCTGACGGTCCACCTGATGGAAAGTGGTAACCGTCGCCTATAAACATGAGCAGTACCGTGGACATAACAGAGTATACTGTTTCGCCCATGATACCCCCCATGCGTTGCCATTCCAGAGGACTCGGGTGTTATTCCTCTGTGCCCTGTAAATTCACGCCATATCACCCGCCCTTCAAACCGAAACACAGCCATGTAAACACAATTGCTTTACGGTTGAAACACGAATGGGACAAAGGTATCCAAGCAAACGACTTTTGAACAAAGTTTCCCTCTGTTTCGTTTGGATGTTTACGGAGCAACGATAGCCTTGGCCTAAAGGTGAAATAAGAATAATGGAATAAAAATGTAGATGAATGTAAAAGAAGATGACCAAGAAAAAGTTGAAAGCTGTGTAAAACATGATATAGGTAATAAAGGCTAACCGTGATAAGTGGTAAAGCTGGCTTGTCAAAACTATATCATGGTGTCAGGTATTGTAGGTCATGTGTAACTGATAGACGGTTTTATAATGCTTTTATATATATATATATATATATATATATATATATATATATATATATATATATATATATATATATATATAATATATATAGTGAGAAAAATAATGAAGCCAACGAAATGGAAAGCAAAGATATAGAATTGAACTTTCAATCCTTTATATTCGCTTCCGTAATTTAATATGAACATAACATATTTGTTTATATTTTATCGTAGCGAGGAATAAATTTGCATTTATCGAGCTTCCTTTTTATAAGAATATATAGAAACGATGACTTACTATCAAGGAGAAAGTAAATTAAAATGATTGATATTTGTCTCTCCATATCTGATAGCAAAAATGATGTTTTTTTTTCGCCTTTCTGGCCTTTTCTTATAAGGAAAATGAATCAGCATTTGCAATTACTTCAGATACGACAACTTTTACAATATGCACCCTTGGGTGTCTCTTAAATTAGTCTTGCAAGATTGCATGGCGTTAGTCAGGTCACATTTTATTGTCAGTTGTAAAGCTCAACATTGGAATCTTCGGCTCCACGATCCAGTCTATATTAAGTTGGGATTCAAGCGCTTTATTTTATGTATGAGGATGCTTTTACTATCTCGTGAAACTGATTATTTTTACAACCGTCTACGTTAGTGGAATTTTTCTGTTGACTTTTATACGTTTTTTTTTAAATCAAACATGGTTTTGCGTTTGATTTTTCTTCATTACGGCAATTTTGATTTATCTCGAAGAAGGTTGTCAAAATAATGCTCACATTTCCAAGCATGTTTGAGGAAAGTTTATTCTTGCACTTTATATCTTATTATTGTTATCTGTGTACACTACTTGGTTGCCTTGTATTTGTGTAGTCCATGGAGATGTGGCACTAGTGACTTGTAACACAGGTTCTTCTAAACCTACCGCAAGCACCAGTCTCTCACAAAATTGGTCTTCATATCAAATTGTACCTCAAATTGTCACTGTATACTACCTTTTGTGAAGAGAAAATAAACCATTCATTCATTCATTCATTTTGTTTCACATACACACACACTTTATTATTTGGGACTGCATACTCTCTGCCTGTTCCGTAAGGAATCTATATTATATACGCACTTTCGCTTTATTTTTTTTTTATTGAGAATTGATATAACGTTTTCTTCGATTCTTGTAATTTCTGTCCTAAACTTGGTATTTTTTAAAAAAAGGGTATATCCTGTTAAATGAAACCCATAAAATCATTCTGCCGTCTTACTTTAGAATCTCGATGCATTACTGAAAGCAATTAACCTGTAAATGCTATACAGAAATCTCTTATGATCCCATTAGAAACAATTAAAGTAATAAAATTGCTGTGTAGAATAGGAATTTTATTAATCTTCTGTTTATGCTTATAACAGAATT